GGGGGGGATATTTAAAGCTGGAATTTTTAGTTATTTACACATTTGATGGAATTTCTACAGCACTTTACATGTAACTTAGAAACGTATGTCTACACATGTTTCTGAAAGTCTTAACTGGATGAATTATTATACTATTACTTTATTTTAAACATCAAAGCAAGAAGAATTCCAGGTTCATCAATGGCCTGGAGCCAGTGGGTTCGGCAAGCTGTGGAAATTTATGTCTGCTTGCCTGACAACAAGTTTCTTACACTATTCATCACACGTTTGAGTGGAAAAGCTAACAAAACACTAAAAATATATATAGCTTACTTTAAAGAATTGTATACTCTAGATAATTTTTAGACCAATTCATTTCAAGATGGGGCAAGAGCACACTTGCCTAAAGGCACCAGTGCTTTTAAGAAACTGTTTTCTTACTCTGAACATGCAGACATATACAATGTAGCATGTGTGTGTGTGCATTTAAATTCTTACACATGAGTTTTAATTTTTAAACAACACAAGGCACTTCAGAATTTGGCATGACAACATAATTGCAATTGATCCCCATCATGAAAAGTTAAACAGTTTGAGATAGAGACCCAAACAGTGTCTGACAAGAAAACTTCCACATACACATGTATATAATTTAAAATATATGTTTGCAGTGTTTTGAAGTCAATAGTACTGGTGCATGACTAAAAGCACCAGCTGTTATATAAATCTAAGTTGAGCTCCAATCAGCAATATTGATATCTTGTACTCAGGTCTTTAAATAGACTTTGCAAAAGTTAAGGTTCTTGTGATTTTTTTTTGATTATTTGAAATAGGGTTCCATGTACCGTGGTAAATGTGAAATACATTGGACCGGTATTGTGTGTGTAACATTTACAACCATGTGAACGTATAGTGATGTGTAACAGGTTGAAGAAGTATGTGCATACACAGATTTAGTGATATACATGTAAATGGTATTGGGTAGTGTGTGACACGTGCACATATACCTGTGCATGTGTGCGCAAGTGCATACTTAAATACATGTAATGACGCATTACAATGTGCCTAAGGGCGCGAGCACATGTATATCTATATACGCATGCACATACTCAAGTTTATACAGTAGCTTGAGTAGTTGGCATCGGCAGGAAATAATTATTCAGCTAATGAATAAAGCTGTTGAAGCCAATTTTAATAATGATATATGCACAGCTGACTTACAAGAGTTTCCTTTATAATGAAATGTAAATAATTCTTCGCCCTACAGTACCTTCGTAACACTAGCTTTACACACAGTGTATATCATACTGGTACATGTTGTACTGACAGATTATAACAACTGTAACGGGCATGTGCATTGAAACAATAGATTTCCTATACTTGTTCAAACATTGAAAGTAAGCACTATATACCTACTGGAAAAGCTTCTGATTCACAAAGAGGTTTCAGTACTCAAAAATAAGAACAAACTTCATATTTACTGGTAATATATATGTTGTCGGATGTGAAGGATGTATTTATTACAGTTTTGTCAGTGAGGTTTATCGAATAATATTAGATGACACATATTTTTTTTTGCACAAGTACTTTAATTAGTTAATGGGTCATAATCACATGAAGGTTAATAGGATTTGTGATATTGACACGGTGTTAATATTTTTAGAAACAGCAAATCAGTATTCACTTTCAATGACTTTGGTTCAATTGTAACGTTACAATGCGCCCTGCCAAATACAGTACTTTCCTCTGTGCGTTTTTCAAGTTTTATCTTGTTTAATGATTAAAACATCGATCCAGGAGTAGAGCCAATGCCCTGATTGTAGTTCAGGTTCGATGGGTTCTGTTATCCCTTGCCTGGATACCAACCAGTATGCAGGGCGATTGAAGAATTGGGGAACTAAGAATAGGTGTCAATTGCAACAAGCTCGGGATAAGTTGAATCTTCTTTATTAGGTATGTCTACTGGTTTCGCCCGAACAGTGGGCTTCTTCAGGACGGAAGAAGTCCACTGTTCGGGCGAAACTGGTAGACATACCTAATAAAGAAGATTCAACTTATCCTGAGCTTGTTGCGATTGACACCTATTCTTATGATTAAAACATTATTTATGGACCTGAGAAAGTGATATTGACCTCAACTTCCTCTCGGTCAATATCATTTTCTCAGCTTCACATTATAACCACATAATAATAATAATAATAATTTGAGGTTCTTGTATACCGCTTTATCACAACCTAGTTTGTAGGTCGTCTCAAAGCGGTTCACATATTTACCTGGTACCTTATCAAAAGTCCATAATTGATATCAACTTGGTGAAACTGATATCCTTCACAAGGTCACAGATATTCAGCTCAGATACAGATGAAGGCAGGTAGCGATGATAAAAGAAGTGGTTGTTTTGGTACATATTGGCTACATAAACTAATTTATTAATTTACCTACACATTTGATACATTTATGAAAGCAAATCTTACCAAATATTTAATAATAATAGCAGAAAAAGGTAGAATGGTGTTGAGTAGCCAATTTAAACTGACATACAATCTTGTTGTCAACCTTGACCTCATTAGAATCTGTCAGAGCACCAAATATTATGCTATTATATATCCCCAACTGTTTTGAATTTGATTGCAGTAACATTTACCTTGTTGTAGCCTAGGTAGATTTAAAATGTAAAAAAATTAGTGGTTTCCCTGTGGAATTTCATATGATATATATTTCACTCGTACGACAGAATATATATACCACTATCTGCTGGGGTCTTTTTAAATGTGCCACTTCTTCCTGGAAAATATCCTATCCTATCGAGCAGTATCAAAGGAGTAAACTAGAATCATCCTTTTCTGTTGTGGTGTACGTGCATGTGTCATCAAAATTAAAAGCACTAAACACACGGACGACTTAGTGATAAGAATGTGTTAAAATTGCTCATCAAGGTGGAAAATACATATAATGATCATCGTACAACAATTTAGATTTCTTCATTGACTGCATCAGATAATTGTTGACAATATAAACTTTGTACAGGTGGTTCGAAAGAATCCTGCCCGACACAGGTGGATACCTGAGGTTATTTACTAGGACTCGTGAAGTTGTATCCTATAACAGTCCACCAGGTGAAGGTTTCTATTGGCCTTAATTCCTCACAATACAGTTGTATATATATAGGTGACAGACTTAGTTCTGGGAAACTGATCACTGTTTTAAATATGTAGCATGTTACGCTCCACTCGTAATAGTCAAATCTCTCTGGGTAGTGTATTGCCTTGGTAATAAAGAAATGATAGACAGATTTTGACCTTAGGATTTCTGAATACAAATAATAAAACAACCATTGAATTTACACTTGGAGCTAGTAATACCCGTTTATTAGAGTAAAAATGTGAGTAAAGTTAAGACCTATATCTTCAGTGCTGTCTTAGATCGAGTTATGAATTATTTTACATGCCATAGAGTCTGACAATAGGTCTGTTTTAAGCAGCTTTTGTAAAGGAATATTCTTATTTTAAAATCGTTCATTTGAATGTGATAACTTTTACAAGTCCACAGAATAAGTGAGTTGAGTAACCTAGTGTTCAAGTATATCTGCTATCTCTGTCTAGGGGACTGCATGGTATAATTATGAAACCTTGTGTATGTAGAAAAGACTTGTAGTTTCACATATATATATGGCATTTAAACCTTCTTATTACCTTCAAAGTCTAAATCTGTAATGATCTGAAAAAACAATTTTATCATACCTGGTGCAACTTTCTATAATAGCAGCCTCAGTATAACAGATATTCTTTTGTGTGCGTTTTCAAAATTATTTTATTAATCATCATTATATATTATCACATTGAGCTTGGGAGTATAATAGCCCATTCAAAAAATTGTAAAGTGAATAAACAGGTTATAGTTAAAGAAACAAAACCACTACCTTTAAGTGGATAGGTCACAGATCATACAGATTACTCCACAATTACTTGGAAAAACTTGGATCATGCGTACTGTCGGAAATGTAATCTTATCTACAAAGAATCACTGGACGACTGGAGAAAAATGATAATCACAGTTTTTAACTGGAATTTTGAATCTTGATCTACAAACTAACACCACCACCTACAATGGACATCCACCATTTACCAAAATTTAATACAAATCAAGTGTTGTCCATTCATTATGTCAGAGGGCTGCCTACCTGGGCTAGTATATCTTCAAATAAACATGCTGGTTGTTTAGACATGCTTTTTATACACATTAATTCTGGTAAGTCTCCTGGACAATTGATCACACATGATAATAGCGAGAGATGGGATGTTAACTATGTAATCTTCAAAGGACATGTATCAAATATGATGTAGTTATACCACAAGGTATAACTGTACAAATGATGGGTATTCGAGTGGGGTTCAATTGAGTAATGTACGGTACATGCATAGATTTTAATTTAGCTCCGTATGAAATCTTCCTATACTATGAAGAACCAATGTGTTGAATGAATGAACATGAATAGTGCATGCCCCNTTACAAATGTTTATAATTTTAATGTAGTTATGCTAAAATCAAGACTCCTGTTTGATGATGGCAATGCAAAATTTGTAAAAGAGAGTGTTTAAAATAATTTTGTATGCTTTCATGCTTGGTTGATGGTAACACTATCATGATTTCACTTTTTTTGTTTCCAAGGTAGGTGACAGTCTCCCCGATGTGGACCTGTACGAGAATGAACCAGGAAACAAGGTCAATGCCGCAAAACAATTTGCAACTGGGAAACACGTCATCTTCGGCGTACCTGGGGCTTTCACACCTGGATGTTCCAAAGTAATTACATATATATTATCATAAAGTTACACTAATTGAGAATATTTTTTTCATATGTCGGTCCATTCTTGATCTTAAAAAGTTTAATATAGGACTGTGCTATTGTTTCCCCTAATCAACTGCCATACTAGGGGGTATTTAGAGATGATTTCTATTTTACATATTATTCGCAATTTGTTAAAGAATTGTCTCCCTTTAAACTCTATTATTATGGTACAACCAAGGATGTCCTATTGAGTCTGTCAGAGTTGCCTGAGCACAGCTTGTGTACAACATGTGTATTCTTGTTGTTTTAACTTTATAACTTTAAACTTTAGCTGTTGATTTATCTGTAAGTTTTGTAGAGGAACCACCATAGAAAGTACATTGAATTGATATATGATTGAACCTTGGGAGGAAACTTTGTCGCTGTTGATCTCTCATATATTTACTGTTCTTTTGGAATGGCATCTCATAAAAAGCCATGTAAGTGATAAGTGCAAGAATGATCCTAATGTTGCTTGTGAACATGCGACAAAAAGATAAAGTCTTATCCCCTTCCAGTTAAAACGAAACAAATTGCAGGATGTTGAATTATTACATTCTCTTCCTTTTTTGACGAAAGGCGAACAGTTTCTGACAGAAACCCAGGTTAACACAATTTCAGACTCAGGTTCCAATAAAAACTTAACCGTGTTTGGGTACTCGGGTTATCGTGACAGCCCTAATTAAAGGTAGGGATTGTATCTCTGATGAATAAGAGTTACAACTTGTAACAGGGACTTCTGATCTGCCACGTCTATTTTATTGGGGATTGGGGGACATACAGTTTTTCCCTTCTCCTTCCTGTCATGTCCAATCCGATCCCCATTAACTGTCATCTCTTAAACAATTTAATTTCTGAACAGATTTTTTATTAAATCAAGATTAAAAAAGATGTTAAGAAGACAACCCTAGTATATTGATGTGTAATTTTGGCACAAACACAGTATCAAAAAGACTATCTTAATAAGTTTCTGTGCAAGTTTGTTATTTATGTCGGGAAACATGTCCTGGGCCCCTATCGTGTATCCAGTTAAACGGTTTGTCTGTTTTTAAAGTAACATTTTCGGGTGGAAATCTTTGCGGACTTGAAAATGTTTACGCAGGCTTTGCAATGCTTTATCAAGGCTCGCCTGAAAGCAGCATCAGATTCCTAGGTCCGACCTTATCTCATAAACAAACAACTCTGGTCCAGCTGGTTCAATCATTTGGATCGGATAAAACAAATGTGGCCCTGGAAGGTTGATGTATGAATTATTTGGTATTATTTATACAAGAAGTAAAGTCACTGTAGGTTTTTGTATGAGATGTCAGTATATGTATCATTATATGTGAATTAATGTTTCAGACCCATCTACCCGAATACGTTAGAGATTTTGACAAATTGAAGGGTAAGGGAGTAACATCTGTGAGCTGTGTTGCTGTCAATGATCCATTTGTCATGAAAGCCTGGGGTGAACAGCACAATGCAGAGGGCAAGGTAAAGCAACTTCAGTTTGACATGAAATTTAGAATTTTGATTAAGCGAGTGCGTTTACATGAATGGGCTTTGATATATACATTATATGGAAATAACCAATAGTACTTTAATATCTCAAAAAATCATTGAAGCTTTAGTTAAGCTAGTGTTAAAATGAGGAGGTTTTCAAGCATCATGGTAACAAAGATGAAATATGTGCTGTATTCAAACCCTGTTTATCAAGTTTTCACTTTTCATTCGGCGAGGAACACATTTGTATATATAAATTATATTCTGTATATTGGAAAATTTGAATCTTTTTAGGTCACGATGTTAGCTGACACATGTGGAGATTTTACCAAAGTAAGTATTCATACATTCAGGCAAAAAGTTTAGGGGGAGGGGTATTTACTTGGTTTTCAGTCTGGTGTGCATTGTATCATTTTTAGCTCACCTGCTTACAGGGCCTGAGAAAATCAGGTAAAATCTTCCAACACACATGTGTAGCCTACAAGAGTGCAGACTAAGTGTATGTATCATGTAACGTTGCTTTCTATTTAGTTTGTCTGATGAATTTGACCTTATCTTTATTTGAAGGTCAGTGTTGTGATTGCCAACACCATTGAATAAAAGGTGAATGACACGGGGCCCATTCAGCTGCTTTTAACCGCAGCATTGAGGATTTTTATCATTGATTGTTCTAGATGATAATAATAAACATCTTCTTAGTGATATATTTAAACAGCAGAACTTTATATACTTGTAGAACTCTTTGTTTGAATGAATCAACTCGTGGAGGAAGTTAAACACTCTGTTATTTGCTATTTGTTTACAGAATGGTTTACAGAATGTTATTTGCTATTTGTTTACAGAAGCTTGGTCTTGATTTGGATTTGTCAGCTGTACTCGGCAGTGTTAGATGCAAAAGGTAGGTATTTCCTTATCAGTGTAAGATCTGTACAGCTATAACAGGTATCTATTTCTACAGCTATTACAGGTATCTATTACTACAGCTATAACAGGTATCTATTACTACAGCTATAACAGGTATCTATTACTACAGTAAAGTTTATGCAGGCCTTGCAAGGCTCGCCATGAAAATAGCATCCAATTAATTACTAGGTCCAACCTCATTTCATAAACGAACAACTCTGGTCCAACCAGTTCAATCGTTTGGATCGTGATAAACGAAAGCAGTCCTAGTGTCAACTATAGAGGTACACTGTACATTACAAAGTATCTGGATGTCTAATCAGCTAACACAAAATGTGAAACCTGCTCTATATTCTAGACTAGTATCATTATATGTGATTGTAAAGGTTCAGTCAGCTGTAGACGTTTTCTGAGTAAGTGGACTCATAAAATTATTTGGTGGACTTGATGGATGAACTGTCGCTAGGCTAATATTACATTTGGTTTAATTCAGTAAAAGTCCCTGTCACAATCACATTCAAGGTTCTTGAACCATAATTTAAAAAATAAATTATCAAGATATAATTGTAAATACCACTATGTTTGAAATACAAATTCCTTAGTATTTAATAACCGAGTTATCCTTTCAAAAAATACCATATGATAATAATTGTTTGAATTAAGCCACGAAGCTAAAGGAGTTTCCTTTTTTTATTAGAAAACATGGATACAACTTACAAGTATTGGTCGTAACATTTTACATTGTGTTTAATCACTGGACTGACACACTTGGAAATTGAGTTATATCTAACACTGGGCCGCTTTCGTTTATCACGATCCAAATGGTTGAACCGATCGAACCAGAGTTGTTCGTTTAAAAGAATTTAATAAGTTTGGACCTAGTAATCCGCTGCTGTTTTCAGGCATTGACGAAGCCGTGCAAGGCCTGCATAAACTATTACATGTCCGCCAGGATTTATACCTGAAAATATTACTTTTAAAAACAGTCTAACCGGTTGTTCCGCATGAATGAACAGGCCCCTGATGACATTTTACCTTGTAGACTGTAGTATTCTTAAGTATGCCTGCAGTGCAAGAGTTATTTCTCTTGGCACTTGTCAGTACATACTATTACATTATTGATTGTCAGCTTAGAAGATTTCTGTGACAAAGTTTTTTTCTAAAACCTATATCAAATTAACATTACGTAAATAAGTCTATGTCAATGCAATTTTACATTGCAGGTTTTCAATGGTTGTGGAGGACGGTAAGATTAAGGATCTGAACGTGGAACCAGATGGTACTGGACTCACCTGTAGTCTGTCAACCAGCATGTTGGAGAAACTGTAATTTGTTGTACAGGAACGGAGTAGGCCTGGATGGTCCTGAGGAGGTCTGCATGAGATCTCGGAGCTTGTGTGTGTTTGTAACACCATCTGCCATAGCTTTACATGTTCATCTTCATTGTACTTTGCCTGTTATGGGGTAGCATATGTAGTCGATAAAGAGACCACAGCATTTGATAGAATGTGTCTGTTAATAGTGATATTATGTTAACACAATATGTTTATGTTAAAAATACTAGACGTCAATAGTGATATTATGTTAACAAAATATGTTTTTGTTAAAAATACTAGAATTTTTGTTGTTTAAAGAAGGCTTTTCTTTACGTTCTTGACCGGAACATCATTTTTTTTCTTTCAGATTTGATGTTAATGTCCATTAAGTTGAATTAACTAAAACAACTTGTGTGAATATTTGAAGTGGAATGATTTATTTGTCAGAAAACGTTTGTCTGAACTCACCAAAAAGTCTCAATGTTAAACATTCCTAAACATAAATGTCAACAATGCAAAATTATTTTTGTTTAAAGACAATCAAGGTACAAGTTCATAAGTACTCATTAGTTTCATTGAGAATTGAAGCATGGGAAAAATCTAGTCTGTTGTATAGTGAACAGTTTCAAGAACACCAAAAGCATAGGATTTATAATTTTTCAAAGTCTGGAATACATTTTAAAATAAGTTCTTTATTAATTGGAAACTTTCCTGTGGGCCACATGATTAAATAGACATTACATGTATGAGCCAGTGTCTATTTACAATATTAAATGTTCCCATTCTCCAAGAATATCGGGTCATTAATCATATTGTCAAAGTATTAAGGTATAGCTTACCAATGCCTCTGTCCACTTATGAAAATCGTTGTTGCAGTTATTTTCCTTTTAACTAAACCTGTGTTAAGAAACATCCTTTAGGTTATCTCAAAATAGAATTTGAACGAGTTTGAGTTCAAATTGTTGATTTTCATGAATATTTGTTCGCTAATTTATCTAAAGAGTACATAAAATCATGCAAGTCATTTAAGTTAAGACCGCTTGTAAGTGTCTCCTGACACTTAATATGATACCATATAAGGAATTTACTATACACAATATTATTTGCACACATTTATAACAATAAACGATATAGAAATTTATAAATACTGTGTATACAAAAGATGATAAGACAGTTTAATTTGATAGATATACTTTAGATTGCTTTGGTGAAATCATACATTTGTATGCTCTCGTTTAAAAATGTTGTTTCATTGGCGTCTAGTTTATATGTATACCCGAATATTAGACCTTTGTAGAACAAAGTAAACTGATGTAGACTACCTGGACTCTGTTTTTGTCTGTAATTTTCTGTGATAAAAGTATTCACATAGGAAATCTTAAGTGTATATATGTAAAAAGTGGCAACAGAAAATCTTTTTATGTATATCAAAAGTTGCATCACTGCATTGCATTGAGTTCCCTGCAAACTGGAATTGATATTTCCGTAAGATAAATTACTAAATGAAAGTAGGCAAGTCCGGTGTTTTATCTTCATGTAAAAAATATACACAGCCATGCAGTACAGTAATATGTGTGTGTGTAAAAAGAATAAAGAGAAATGAAATACTCCACCTGCTATTAGAGATTTATTTAATTTTCTATACATTACTTATACATATTATACATGTTGGATTGTCTTGTGGTGTACATTACATTTAGCTGACTAAGTGAAGCTTTATTATATATTAAGTTAAGTATGATCATTATCACGTTAAGGTCCACATACTATTGCCTGAAACAGTAACTATGCATGTGAACTTTTTCTGGAATGCCTAGACTGAACAGAACAAATTGAACAATAGAAGAGTAATCTCCCCTTACTATAGTTTTTGCTGTTACGGCTGAGCCAGGATATTTCTGTGGACCGGGTAGCTCAGTCAGTTACAGCCACAGTATTACAACCTACAGTTAAGGGTTCGAGTCCCACTTTACTTTTTACACTCGGAACACTATTGTTGATTATATTCTGTTTCATTCATCCTAATTCTTTTTCATGAAGTCCTACAAGGTATGGTTTCCTTTTTATACGCCCGGCAAATTTGACGGGAGTACTATGGTATGGGTTTGTCCGTCCGTCCGGCGTAAACTTTTGTTTGTCCGGCAATCTCCTCCTACATTTTTCGACCGATCTCTTTGAAACTTGGTATACATTATAATCATGATATGAAGTTGTGCCTCCCTCAAAAGAATTTGATTCAACAATTTGCCAAAAGTTATTGCCGTTTGTTCATTTGAGTATTTATTTTTTTGTCCGGAGATCTCCTCTTACATTTTTTTGACGGATTTGTTTGAAACTTAGTAGGAATAATTATGATATGTGGTTTTTCCTTGAAAAGAATTTTGATTCAACAATTTTTGCAAAAGTGATTTTAGTCCAGCAATCTCCTACATTTTTAGGTCACCTGAGCTTTGCTCAAGTGACCTATTCTAATCGCTTTTCGTCCGTCGTCGTCCGTCGTGCGTCGTGCGTAAACTTTTACATTTTCAACTTCTTCTCAAGAACCAGTGGATGGATTTTTTTCAAACTTGGTCAGAATCATCCTTGGTAGATGAGGCTTCAAAATTGTAAAATTGGGATTCCTAC